GCGGTGTATTCCATATCGTACCCTTAAAACACTTATGCAAATGATGCATGTCAATCAAGACTCTATGCATTCTCATATCACATTATCATTTCCCATGGTCATATCACATCATCACATTTCGTCATCATATTTCATTATCACATTTCATATCTCATGTCTCAATCACATTTTACATTACATCATCATATCACATTATCACATTATCTCATCATATTCACAAACCTTCCACAGAGCACTTTAATTTATATCAAAACTCGTTTATTTATAAAATTAAATACATATTTTTACATCTCATCAAACAAGGAATATAACAGAAAATATTCATATTTTGCCTATTTCTCATAGGGTTTCCCGCAGGAACCCATAGAGCACTCTAAATCATATCAAAACATATTTTTTCTAAAAATTAATCACATACTTACGCATTACATTCAACAAGGAATACAATAGAGTAAATTGAAATACGACGTATGCTGGTCTAAATAAAAAGAATCCACGAGACGAATTCCACCGTAAACAAATTGGCACGCCCGGTGGGACGCGTTTAATTCAGAACATAATTGGACTAGTTTTAGGTGTGTGAATTGCATGAGATTAAGGAGTGGAAGAACTATGTCTACGTCTGATAACATGAACGTAAACAACAATAATGTAGATGTAGAACAGCCCAACCCCAATCTTGATAATACTACGAATGTGACCAGGGGGGCAAGATCACCTCCTGTATTGCTTGAGAACCATGCTAGGCATAATAATACCACTCAAGAGTTAGTAAATGTCACTAGAGAGTACCCCTGGGGTATGCCACCCAACTGGCGGAGTACTCAGCCTACGTATGTTGAGATGTCAATGCCTTTCATAGGACCAAATTCGCAAATGAATATATCCCCACAGGGATATAATCCCGGGCCAAATGGATTAGGTTTTGTCATGCAAGACCCGTATCAACACGTAGGAACAAGTCAGGAGGGTTCGTTAATTCGACAGGGTAGTTACATGCCTACAGGTATAAGTAACCAAGCAATGATGGCTCTCCGACAACAAATGGACCATAGTAATCATGACATGGTCAATTTGTTGTCCACTCAGATGCACAATATCATGACACCCCTGTATGAGTTAATAAATAAAATAGGTGATAAGTTGGGCAATGGGCCTCCTTCGAGAGCAATGAGTGTGAATTTAAATGATACAGAGAACCCTGGGGGGCATGGAAACTTGCAAAATATAGTTCGACCTAATAGAAACCCTGATGACAATCTGGATCAAATTGTAGAAAGAATATTGAATAGGCATGGATTCGATGTAGGTCGAAACGAACACCCATACTTTGTGTCAGCCTTCCCAAATTATATTACACAGGCAGAATTACCCCGTGGAATGAAAGTCCCAAAGTTCACAAAATTCGCGGGAGAATTAACCGAATCAACAGTAGAACACATAGCTAGGTATGGGGTCGAATGTGGGGATCTGGCTAATAATGAATACTTGAAAATGAAATATTTTCCAAGTTCTTTGACTAAACATGCTTTTACCTGGTTTACTACCTTGCCCCCTAATTCGATACATACTTGGGTACAGCTAGAAGGAAGCTTTCATGAGCATTTCTTTCGAGAGGAAATGAAGGTCAGTATAGTAGATCTAATGAACATTAAAAGGCAAAACAATGAAACATTAGATGACTATTTAAACAGGTTTAGGCAATTAAAATCTCGATGCTATACTAATATTCCAGAACATGAATTAGTTAGAATTGCTGCAACTGGTTTAGAATTCTCAATACGCAAAAAACTAGTTAACGAACAATTGAGAGACATGGCCCAACTTGCTGAGAAAGTGCGTAGGATTGAACAAATTAAGTTAGAAAAGGAGAAACTGAAGAAGTTTGACAAGTTCGTTAGAAAAGAAAGAGTTGCGTATTTAGAAAATTCTGAGTTAAGTGAAGATTCTAATTATGAAATGGCGAGTGAAGATTTCGAGATTAATTTAGCAGAATTACGCCCTGGACCAACGTACCAATGTCAAATGTTAAAACCAGGGAGTAATACAGAGGAGAATTCGAGTAAGAAATATAGTTTTGATATAACTAAAGCAGAAAAGATATTTGATATTCTGTTAAAGGATAAACAAATTATTCTTCCAGATAATCATAAAATCCCACCATTCGAGCAAAGGAAAGGAAAGAAGTTTTGTAAGTATCATAATATGTATGGGCATTGGACTAACAATTGTGTACGTTTCAGGGATTTGATCGAAAAGGCGATTACTGATGGTCGTCTAGCTTTCGAGGGAAAAGATATGAAAGTTGACACAGATCCCTTTGCTGCTCATACTGGTTATGTCGAGCCAGTTTCTTTGGGAATCAACATGGTGGATGTTGCTGTGGAAGAAGAGGAAAACATCGAACCTATCTCTGATGAAAAACTCGAAGAGTTAATGGAGGATTTTGCCAAGGAGCAAGAACCTATTTACCCAAAAGAAGGAGATAGCTTAGTGGAATTCCTCTCGAAAAAGAAAGAGGCAGATAAGGAGGTCATGTTATGTCCTCGTTGTAGTGCCGTTTTTGATAAGGCTGCTGCAAAAGCCTTCGAGGAGTCAGAAATGCTGAAAAGCTACAAAGCTGAAAAGATGCGTGAAAAAGCTCAGCTTCGTGACAGGGCGAAATCAGGATTGACTATGAGGCAGATTCATATGCCTCAATACAACGCTCCTGTCGGGAAAATGGAAATGTATAATTCTTCCAGATTTGGTAACACTTATGTGCCTAATGCCAACGCACCTGTGGGAAAATGGAATGCTCCTCCTGGATTAATGGGAGGCATGGGTCGAGGAAAGCAAGTCATGAACCAGACTAATCACCCTATGCAAGGGATTCCCGGGAAGATGTTAAACCCTATGACAGGGCCTAGTCGAATTAACTCTGGGGGATATGGACGTGGTTTTCGACAGCCCATGAACAACATGACCAAGACTCAGTGGAGGAGACAGCAAAGGATGAGAAAGGCCACGTTCGAGGGAGTTAAAGGAAATCGATTTTCAGTGCCAGTGCCTCCAAAAGGGGAAGCTTCTAGAAAATTCCTAGAAGAGGATGATGAAGACATGATCACAGATTGTTTCGAAAGTGGATTCGAAGATTCGTTAGAAGACATCTGTGGAATAGTTTCTATCTTGCCAACAGAGTTTGCTGAGGCTATGGAGGCTGTCAATGAGCAAGAAGACGTGTATCGCGAAGATTATTTCGAGGATCCTAATTATGAGTCTAAGGTAATTTGGGTGAATCAGATTTCGAGGGTGGTTCCTAAGTTTAACTCTGCTGTGTTCGATTCTCCTACCGAGGAGATGAAAAGTCACTTGAAACCTCTCTTGTTGACCTTAATGATCGAAGGGCAGGAAGTCAATAAGGTCTTGGTGGATGGGGGTGCAGCAGTAAATATTTTGCCCAAAACAATGCTGAAAAGGTTTGGGAAATCTTCGATGGATCTGAAACCTCATAATATAATGATTTCTGACTATGCAGGGAAATCTTCAAACCC